CCAAAAAGTCTTAGCAATTCCTGACAGTCACTCATCATTTGGTCCGTTGTATGGTTTGTCAAACGATTTTGATTATTGACTTCGCGGTAAGAATTAATGAGTTCTTCGCGTGAAATGCTTTCAAAATGAGTGGACGACTTGGAAGGACTCGGTTCTAACCCTTTAAGAGTCTCTTCTGGTATATCACTCAACGAGTCTTCGTCTGCAAGTGAATTGATTTCAGTGTTTAAATGAGTCTTATTTTCATCGATTCCATCCACACATTCCTCTTCTGTGCCAACTCTATCCGTTTGACTCAAACCTACACTCTCTTTGACATTCAATGGTTCAATATTTGGTGGACTCATAGCATCGGTAGTGAGGGGACCCACCTCTTCAAACCCATCCTCATCTGAATCGGTATTCACTTCAATGGCTTTGATTTTTGTGAATCTCATCGATTCATCCAATTTGATGACATTTTGCATGCAATTTGTGTCATTTGTTTGTAATTTATCACACCATTTATTATTCAATTCATTTTTATCCAAACTTATTTCAATCAATTGTTTGTCATTCTCGACATCACTTTCATCTGATATTTGAATAGTTTCTTGAGTTTTAGAGTCACTCGATATACCGGTAAGTATTTTGTCTGATTTAAAATTGCTTTCAATGTTCACAANTGTCACTCAATTGATCTCATGTCTCATTATCTGTTATTTGGCCACAGATTTGTCTCTTTGGGTGAACCAATCGATTAAAGGCTTTCGCGGCAGAAATGGTCAGACCGTAGACAACGCCCACGTGTTGGGACTCTTTCACAGAGTCTGCAAACTATTGTTTTACAAAATAAAACCGGTCTTTGTCTTCGACGGTACCACTCCTCAGCTCAAGAGGAATACAATCGCAAAGAGAGCTGAGAGGAGACTCAAAGCCGTGGACAAGTCGCGAGAGTCTGCGCTCAAAGTCTTAACCAAATACCTGTCTTCACAACTGCCCCCGAGTTCTGCTAAACAGATCCCAAGAAGTGATAGCTTGCCATCACTTGAGTCTTCGTTGCATCCAATACCAGATAATCACGACTTCAAGGTATACGAAGAGTTGAATGAATTGGAAAGAGATAAAGAGTTGAGTGACAGCGACCACGAAGACAGTGACTCGGAATCGGATCCAATCATAGCCCACACGTATAGGAATATTCAGAATTTGGATTCAATTGATATTAATTCGGATGACTTTAAGGCTTTGCCACTCGATGTCAGGTATGAGATACTGACGGAATTGAAGCAGAAATACAAGGGATACAGGAATACAGAGCTTATGCCTAAAGAATCCAATGATTTCTCGAAGTATCAAATGCTGAGACTTCTCAAGAAACGAAGTCTTCAGTCGAAGATTGAAGAAACCATTAGTCAATTGAATGGTCAGAACTCAGAGGATATTATCGCGAATTTCGCTAAAAATGATTTCGTCTTTGAGAGCGATTCCACTGCCGGACGACTCATGTCGGACGAGACGACAAGATTTATATTCCTTAAGAAGTCTCAGACGAGTTCATCGAAAATCACTGATGAGGACAACCATATCAATAGCAATACGACTAAAGTTTGTGAAAACATGACTTCAACTCTGGTGTCAAAGACTGAATCGACCGATAATTTATGTATTGATATCTTAGACTCATCTGATTGTGAAGAACTTGCTATAAGTTCTAAAGTTATAAAATGTGATAATTTTGTTGTGAACATTGAAAGCAATTTTAAATCAGACAAAATACTTACCGGTATATCGAGTGACTCTAAAACTCAAGAAACTATTCAAATATCAGATGAAAGTGATGTCGAGAATGACAAACAATTGATTGAAATAAGTTTGGATAAAAATGAATTGAATAATAAATCGTGTGATAAATTACAAACAAATGACACAAATTGCATGCAAAATGTCATCAAATTGGATGAATCGATGAGATTCACAAAAATCAAAGCCATTGAAGTGAATACCGATTCAGATTCAGATGGGTTTGAAGAGGTGGGTCCCCTCACTACCGATGCTATGAGTGCACCAAATATTGAACCATTGAATGTCAAAGAGAGTGTAGGTTTAAGTGAAACGGATAGAGTTGGCACAGAAGAGGAATGTGTGGATGGAATCGATGAAAATAAGACTCATTTAAACACTGAAATCAATTCACTTGCAGACGAAGACTCGTTGAGTGATATACCAGAAGAGACTATTAAAGGGTTAGAACCGAGTCCTTCCAAGTCGTCCACTAATTTTGAAAGCATTTCACGCGAAGAACTCATTAATTCTTACCGCGAAGTCAATAATCAAAATCGTTTGACAAACCATACAACGGACCAAATGATGAGTGACTGTCAGGAATTGCTAAGACTTTTTGGAATTCCGTTTATTTTGAGTCCAACCGAAGCTGAGGCCCAATGCGCTGCTCTCGAGCTGTTAGGTCTGACCGACGGCACCATTACTGACGACAGCGATGTATTACTATTCGGCGCTCAGAATGTATATAAAAACTTCTTCACAGAAAGTAAATTCGTGGAACTGTTTACAGCCAAAGATATCGAGACCAGGTTTGGATTAACCCGGTCTTCGATGATCTGTATTGCGTTGCTTTGTGGCAGTGATTACACGGACGGTGTCGATGGTGTGGGAGCCGTGACGGCCACTGAGATTTTGAGTGAATTTCCTGGCGATGGACTCAAACCACTGTTGGATTTGAAGGATTGGTTGACAACTAAACACAATTCCACAGACAAGAGACCCGATAATAAAATTCGTGAGAAATTCTTGAAGATTAAAGTCAACGATTCGTTTCCAAATCGAGTCATTTTCGACGCCTATATGAATCCGACGGTTGATAAGTCCGAAGAGAAGTTCTTGTGGGCTATGCCTCAACTCGAAGAACTCAGACGTTATGCCAGCACTCGGTTCGGTTGGACTCAAACTAAAACCGATTCAATACTTTTACCCGTTTTGAAGAAAGTAAACGAAAAACAAGTATTTATTTCTATTGACTTGATCTCAATTTAATATTTTGTAAATCTATTGTTAATACTTAATGCTTATTACCGGTACATATGTTGTCATTTCAGACGCAACAGACAATTGATGGTTACTTCAAAGTGCAGGTCCAGCCCAAAGAGACGGCTCTCCTCAGCAAAAGGTTAAGTAAAGCAATAAATAAATTGCGCGGAAAAGAGAGCGAACCGGCGATGAGTGCCTCGACGTCCAGCAAAACGAGTCAATTGACGAATAAAGTGAAAAATCAGAGGAAAAAGCGTCCGACAAATGTGAACACAAATAAAGTGAATCCCAAATCAAAGAAAAGAAAAACAAACACAAGAACTCAAACGCCCAAAGAGTTAACATTATCTGAAACCAGCAGTGATTCGGATTAATTAAATCCTGTTATCATTTCACGCGTTGTTTATCTTTTAATAGATTTATATAACTTTTTTTTGCATCTTTATATACAGTATTTTAATAATTCAATCGCTTTAATAAATCAAATATAATTTTGAACCCTTTTGCTTCATTTAAAGTTTTCGATGATTCAATGCATAGACTATTGGGTGATATTAATCATAATTTAATGCTAAAGTTTTTGGCAAATAATCAGCATTTCTCTAATGACTAAAACTACAATCAGTATTAAAACAAAAGGCATTGATTTTGAAACAACTAACATATACTTTAATCGAGTTTATAATTTCTAATTTAAATACATTTGCGATAATTAACTGAAATTTGAAATTAAAATAATTAGGGACTCAATGGTCACCACAAGTGATCCGCAGATTAAGCGCCGATTTTGGTGTCGATCTCCTCCCAGAACTTGCGCGCGGGAACTGCTTTGAAATAATAGCCGCATTCGCAGCGCCGGGGTTCAGACAAGTGGACCCACATGTAGTTCAGGTGTGTCTGGTCCTCCTCACACAGACACCCAATCAGACGCTTGTCCTCGAAGCTCGGCACCAGATTCGGGTTCTCTACACACATACAGACACACCATATGTTAGTTCATCGCAAACACTACTCGCGAGGAATGGCTGCCGGAGTGATGGCCTCACCTTTAGTTCCGGGCCCTCTGTGTCTGGGCTTCAGACAGAAGGGGTCATCGATGCCCTTCTCCTCAGCCAAGAGCAGCAGTTTCTCGAGTCCTGTGGCGTGTTCTATGGGATCCGGTAAACGGATGTCCGACTCCTTCACGTCCGTGCCGTCNGCTAAACAAAGGTATAATAATTATAGGCATAAAGTGTCATAAACCAGAAACCGGTGAAATAAAACACCGAAATCGTGTCTAAGAAGTCTATTATTACACCGCATATAAAGCCTATAATTTAATATTTTTTCAAATATTCAATTTCTCAAAAATATTTTATTTGAAATTCAATTCCAATATACTTTTATTATCATGGTATTTACCGTAACATGAAAAACAGTGTTTAACGCGATATCTATCGATTATACTCTATGTACAGTATTTCAGTAATACTTTGAAACCAACTTTTTCCGATTGAGTTCCGCTTAGACACAGTCGACTACAATGACTATAATTTGCAAACAATAATATTGCTTACAATCAAATGAAACATTAATTAAACACATTTTCCGACATTTGAATCGTTTTAATAAAAATTTTTATTGAAATATAAGTGAAAATCAAATCAAGTCGTGAAGCAATAACTTGGAGCCAATCAGTGGGTCATAGGGACGGCCTGTTGGGTGTACTGCGGGATCGGAGTGTTGAGTCCGATGGCAGTCGGGTCGAAGACAATGTCCGGCAGCTGTCGTATGCCTTGTTTGTCGACAATCGCCACTTGAAATGTGGGCAAATTGATGACTAACCGCTTCTGGATCTCCTGCACGCACTTCTTCAGCAGTTCGATGGCCTCGGCTTCAGTGGAGTCGCTCTTATAATACCTGTCGAGCACTGATGTGCCGAAGAAGGAGCCGTAGCCGTGCATAGCGTAGGGAACGGAACAGTTGGTGGCCAAGTAGTCCATGAAATAGAGTTCCGGTTTGTCAGCGACGGTGTCATAGCCGGCGAGCAATAGGTTAACCATATATGGAGTTCTCGAGCGAAGATAATCGGCTAAATTGCGGGCAATGAAGGTATTGGCGCAATGGGGCGACAGCTCGAAGCCATTCCTCATTGAATACAGCTTTATGTTCTTCGAGATGAACTCCGCGAACTGATTCGTGTCGCCCGCCTCTCCCACCACTCCCAACAACAGGTGATCCGACAGTTCATACAACTTCTTCTCGTCGTTCTTCACCACAATTATCGAGTGAGCGCTCAGTCGGTCCGATGCCAGCAGACAGAAGCGATCGAAACGGATCCCAATTAAGCCTTCCATGGAGTCGATGCCTGTTGGAGACAATGTTCAGTCAGTCCTGAAGATGGGTCACCTCTATGTCGAGGAATACTCACCACGAAATCAGTTGACAATCAATACAATCAAATCAAATGACAAACAATTGTCAGAAGCAATGGTTTAGTGATTCAGCAAAAGTGTCTTCACATCACATCAATTACGTGCCAATCGTTGCCATCGTTTTTGAATGCAATGACAGGTCTGTGGATTGGGAGGCAATCCATGCAATACTCCCGGACTCCCAACACTTCGGCAACTCTTTCAACATTTATCGCTCTTTTCATTGATTTGCAGTCATTTTAAAATACATAAAAATAATAATTAAAAATTGAGTTTCAATTACGAAATGATAATAATTTTTGAGTTAATTTTCTGGTTTAAAGTCTGAGTCCCGGAGTGTTGTCTAAACAAACGAGAGGTGGAGTCCTAATGAATACAATTCGCAAGTGTGTTGTAATCCCATAAAAGATAAGACATTGAATGCCAACGAATAGAGAGAACTGTTTCGACAAACACTTCACAAACTCCATACTCATTGGAAAGCATTGACTCAATCATTGAAACCCGATTTCAACGCTCTTTACATCAAAGCAAACAAATCCTTAACTCTTGCGACCATTTCTTGCGTTTATTTCGACGACAAAAGTAAACAATCGGTGGACACGAGAATCGATGGCCAGTATTCTGCGGTTAGTATCACATCCAGCGGTGACCAACCCGTTGCTGAGGAGCGCCAATGTATTGCCCGCTTTGGGCGCAAGTGGTGTCCAAACGAGACATTTGTTTGGTTTCGGAAAACTGCGAAGAGTTGACGGCACGGACGTGAAGGAGTCGGACATCCGTTTACCGGATCCCATAGAACACGCCACAGGACTCGAGAAACTGCTGCTCTTGGCTGAGGAGAAGGGCATCGATGACCCCTTCTGTCTGAAGCCCAGACACAGAGGGCCCGGAACTAAAGGTGAGGCCATCACTCCGGCAGCCATTCCTCGCGAGTAGTGTTTGCGATGAACTAACATATGGTGTGTCTGTATGTGTGTAGAGAACCCGAATCTGGTGCCGAGCTTCGAGGACAAGCGTCTGATTGGGTGTCTGTGTGAGGAGGACCAGACACACCTGAACTACATGTGGGTCCACTTGTCTGAACCCCGGCGCTGCGAATGCGGCTATTATTTCAAAGCAGTTCCCGCGCGCAAGTTCTGGGAGGAGATCGACACCAAAATCGGCGCTTAATCGGCGCTTAATCTGCGGATCACTTGTGGTGACCATTGAGTCCCTAATTATTTTAATTTCAAATTTCAGTTAATTATCGCAAATGTATTTAAATTAGAAATTATAAACTCGATTAAAGTATATGTTAGTTGTTTCAAAATCACTGCTTTTTGTTTTAATACTGATTGTAGTTTTAGTCATTAGAGAAATGCTGATTATTTGCCAAAAACTTGAGCATTAAATTATGATTAATATCACAAAATAGTCTATGCATTCAATCATCGAAAACTTTAAATGAAGCAAAAAAGAGTTCAAAATTATATTTGATTTATTAAAACGATTGAATTATTAAATTACTGTATATAAAGATGCAAAAAAAGTTATATAAATCTATTAAAAGATAAACAACGCGTGAAATGATAACAGGATTTAATTAATCCGAATCACTGCTGGTTTCAGATAATGTTAACTCTTTAGGCTTTTGAGTTCTTGTGTTTGTTTTTCTTTTCTTTGATTTGGGATTCATTTGATTTGTGTTCACATTTGTCGGACGCTTTTTCCTCTGATTTTTCACTTTATTCGTCAATTGACTCGTTTTGCTGGACGTCGAGGCACTCATCGCCGGTTCGCTCTCTTTTCCGCGCAATTTATTTATTGCTTTACTTAACCTTTTGCTGAGGAGAGCCGTCTCTTTGGGCTGGACCTGCACTTTGAAGTAACCATCAATTGTCTGTTGCGTCTGAAATGACAACATATGTACACTTTTCCGCGCAATTTATTTATTGCTTTACTTAACCTTTTGCTGAGGAGAGCCGTCTCTTTGGGCTGGACCTGCACTTTGAAGTAACCATCAATTGTCTGTTGCGTCTGAAATGACAACATATGTACGGGTAATAAGCATTAAGTATCAAATTGAGATCAAGTCAATAGAAATAAATACTTGTTTTTGGTTTACTTTCTTCAAAACGGGTAAAAGTATTGAATCGGTTTTAGTTTGAGTCCAACCGAACCGAGTGCTGGCATAACGTCTGAGTTCTTCGAGTTGAGGCATAGCCCACAAGAACTTCTCTTCGGACTTATCAACCGTCGGATTAATATAGGCGTCGAAAATGACTCGATTTGGAAATGAATCGTTGACTTTAATCTTCAAGAATTTCTCACGAATTTTATTATCGGGTCTCTTGTCTGTGGACATGTGTTTAGTTGTCAACCAATCCTTCAAATCCAACAGTGGTTTGAGTCCATCGCCAGGAAATTCACTCAAAATCTCAGTGGCCGTCACGGCTCCCACACCATCGACACCGTCCGTGTAATCACTGCCACAAAGCAACGCAATACAGATCATCGAAGACCGGGTTAATCCAAACCTGGTCTCGATATCTTTGGCTGTAAACAGTTCCACGAATTTACTTTCTGTGAAGAAGTTTTTATATACATTCTGAGCGCCGAATAGTAATACATCGCTGTCGTCAGTAATGGTGCCGTCGGTCAGACCTAACAACTCGAGAGCAGCGCATTGGGCCTCAGCTTCGGTTGGACTCAAAATAAACGGAATCCCAAAAAGTCTTAGCAATTCCTGACAGTCACTCATCATTTGGTCCGTTGTATGGTTTGTCAAACGATTTTGATTATTGACTTCGCGGTAAGAATTAATGAGTTCTTCGCGTGAAATGCTTTCAAAATTAGTGGACGACTTGGAAGGACTCGGTTCTAACCCTTTAATAGTCTCTTCTGGTATATCACTCAACGAGTCTTCGTCTGCAAGTGAATTGATTTCAGTGTTTAAATGAGTCTTATTTTCATCGATTCCATCCACACATTCCTCTTCTGTGCCAACTCTATCCGTTTCACTTAAACCTACACTCTCTTTGACATTCAATGGTTCAATATTTGGTGCACTCATAGCATCGGTAGTGAGGGGACCCACCTCTTCAAACCCATCTGAATCTGAATCGGTATTCACTTCAATGGCTTTGATTTTTGTGAATCTCATCGATTCATCCAATTTGATGACATTTTGCATGCAATTTGTGTCATTTGTTTGTAATTTATCACACGATTTATTATTCAATTCATTTTTATCCAAACTTATTTCAATCAATTGTTTGTCATTCTCGACATCACTTTCATCTGATATTTGAATAGTTTCTTGAGTTTTAGAGTCACTCGATATACCGGTAAGTATTTTGTCTGATTTAAAATTGCTTTCAATGTTCACAACAAAATTATCACATTTTATAACTTCAGAACTTATAGCAAGTTCTTCACAATCAGATGAGTCTAAGATATCAATACATAAATTATCCGTCGATTCAGTCTTTGACACCAAAGTTGAAGTAATGTTTTCACAAACTTTAGTGGTATTGCTATTGATATGGTTGTCCTCATCAGTGATTTTCGATGAACTCGTCTGAGACTTCTTAAGGAATATAAATCTTGTCGTCTCGTCCGACATGAGTCGTCCGGCAGTGGAATCGCTCTCAAAGACGAAATCATTTTTAGCGAAATTCGCGATAATATCCTCTGAGTTCTGACCATTCAATTGACTAATGGTTTCTTCAATCTTCGACTGAAGACTTCGTTTCTTGAGAAGTCTCAGCATTTGATACTTCGAGAAATCATTGGATTCTTTAGGCATAAGCTCTGTATTCCTGTATCCCTTGTATTTCTGCTTCAATTCGGTCAGTATCTCATACCTGACATCGAGTGGCAAAGCCTTAAAGTCATCCGAATTAATATCAATTGAATCCAAATTCTGAATATTCCTATACGTGTGGGCTATGATTGGATCCGATTCCGAGTCACTGTCTTCGTGGTCGCTGTCACTCAACTCTTTATCTCTTTCCAATTCATTCAACTCTTCGTATACCTTGAAGTCGTGATTATCTGGTATTGGATGCAACGAAGACTCAAGTGATGGCAAGCTATCACTTCTTGGGATCTGTTTAGCAGAACTCGGGGGCAGTTGTGAAGACAGGTATTTGGTTAAGACTTTGAGCGCAGACTCTCGCGACTTGTCCACGGCTTTGAGTCTCCTCTCAGCTCTCTTTGCGATTGTATTCCTCTTGAGCTGAGGAGTGGTACCGTCGAAGACAAAGACCGGTTTTATTTTGTAAAACAATAGTTTGCAGACTCTGTGAAAGAGTCCCAACACGTGGGCGTTGTCTACGGTCTGACCATTTCTGCCGCGAAAGCCTTTAATCGATTGGTTCACCCAAAGAGACAAATCTGTGGCCAAATAACAGATAATGAGACATGAGATCAATTGAGTGACAATCAACTCAATACAAACCGATTGCAATCACTTTATTGTGAAGTGTCTCTAAGTTGACGGGATGTCCGACACTGTCCACAATACCCCACAGTCCGGTCACTCCCATGGATCAGCTCTGGATGTGTTGATTGTCTCACTTCTCGAGTATTTGTTTCGCAGACAATTTGTTTGAATCAATAAAATACGAGTTTTTTGTTTGCATTCAGTCGTGAAGTGAACGACAATAATGGCAATCAATTAATGCAGAGTTAGGGCCACATATGGCGAGCCCTACACACGGGCTATGTATTACTGAATGCATTTGGTGTGAATGAATGAATGCAAGACTCTGTGCTTATTGTGAGAGTGAAAGCACTGATCGAGCGATGAATGCATTGAATGTATGTATTGTGTGATCAAAACAAAACACTTTCCACTCATTTGCGAATCCATTGAACAGTTAATTAGTGTTTAGTTTGCCATCAATTGTATCAATGATCGCATCCGTTGTGGACATCATTTAGTCTTATATGACATCGAAATCAATGGTAAAGTGAAGAACGAATGTCACAACCGAATGCTTCCACATCTGATAGATTGGTCACCACTTCAGACGGCAAACAAGTGATAGACAATAGACCCGAAGTGACGGTCAGATCCAATACAGTGACCGACAAACGCAAGGCTTTGAACACAAGTAATAATAATATCCATAATAATCATAATCACAACAAATATATTCCTCACAAAAGAGTTCGCATTGAATGCGAAGACATTGAAACGGACGCGAAGATGAGTGAAAACGCGTCGATCGCCGTCACCAACAACCAGAACAATAGGTACTCATTGTCTTCTAATGGTGTCTCCAAAGGCACTCAATTGGCAAACTCGACAAAACCCGGAACCGCTAAGAAGCTCGTCATCAAGAACTTCGGTTTGATATCTCTTTGTCTTTGAGCGCTATTTGTTGTGATAATGAATGTCTTTTGTATGGTTTGAATCCAAAGAAAAGCCAAAACTGCCGGAAAACTACTCAACGCAGACATGGGATCGCATGAAGGAGGCGGTGGTCGCCATTCAGAAGTCAGAGCCGGTCAGCACATCCCTGGAAGAGCTGTATCAGGCGGTCGGCAATCTGTGCTTTCATAAGATGGCACCCGATCTCTACAAACAGTTGGAGTCTTTGGTCGAAGTCCACGTCAAGAACTGTGTCCTCCAGTTCTTGAACGCAGATATGGATCACTTGTCTTATCTGAAACTCATGAATAACTGCTGGCAATCACATTGCAATCAAATGGTAAGACAATTGAGTGAATGGACTTATTTGATTGATTACCATTTGTGTCTATATTGAACAGATAATGATCCGGAGTATATTCCTATATCTGGACCGAACATATGTTCTCCAAACGGCACAAATTCTCTCCATTTGGTATGACTTTTAAGATAATTGTCTCTTTAATTCACTTTTATATTAATTGCTTTGAAATTTCAATGACAGGGATATGGGTTTAGAGATGTTTCGCAAACACATTACAAACGACTCTATAGTTCAGACCCGAACTGTCGACGGATTGCTAAAACTCATTGAAAGCGAGCGCAGCGGTGAGGGTGTGGACAGAGGGCTACTGAAGAGTTTGCTGCGAATGTTATCTGATTTGTCGATATATCGAAACGCATTTGAAATCCGGTTCTTGCAGTCAACGGAACAGTTGTACGCCTCGGAAGGGCAGCGATTGATGCAGTCTATGGAAGTTCCCGACTATTTGTCTCACGTCGACAAACGCGTGAACGAAGAGTGGGAGCGTTTGCTTCACTATTTGGATCACTCGACTCGCAAACCATTGATACAAACCGTCGAAAAGCAGTTGATTTCTGAACACTTGCCAAACATATTGTCGAAAGGGTTGGACCAGTTGTTGGACACCCACAGAATCACAGACCTGTCTCTTATGTACAATCTATTAAATCGAGTGAAGGAGGGTTTGGGAGAACTTTGTTCTCATTTCAATCAATATATTAAGAAAAAAGGGAAAGTAATCGTCACGAGTCCTGAAAAAGACAAAGAAATGGTTCAGGAATTACTTGATTTTAAGGATCAGATGGATCTGGTGTCCAATCAATGCTTCTCTAAGAACGAAAAGTTCACGAACTCATTGAAGGAGGCGTTCGAGCAATTCATTAACCAAAGGGCTAACAAACCGGCGGAACTGATCGCCAAATTCGTCGATTCGAAGCTAAGGGCCGGCAATAAAGAGGCCACAGAAGAGGAATTGGAGAAACTTTTAGACAAAATAATGGTTTTGTTTCGCTTTATTCACGGAAAAGATGTCTTCGAGGCGTTCTATAAGAAGGATTTGGCGAAAAGACTTTTGGTCGGAAAGTCCGCTTCAGTGGACGCCGAGAAGTCAATGCTCTCTAAGTTGAAACAGGAATGCGGGGCCGCCTTCACCTCCAAACTGGAGGGTATGTTCAAAGACATGGAACTGTCCAAAGAACTGATGCTGAACTTCAAACAATACCTGAATAACGCCAAACCCAACGGTGCCGTCGAAATGAACGTCAATATACTGACAATGGGTTATTGGCCGACGTATCAGCCAATGGAAGTGCACATGCCTTCAGAAATGGTTGAGTATCAGGAGATCTTCAAGAGGTTCTATCTGTCGAAACACAGCGGAAGGAAACTGCAGTGGCAGCCAAACTTAGGCCACTGTGTCCTCAAAGCCTGCTTCGCAGCGGTCAGTCTCTCACTCACTCACTCTCTCTCACTCACTCTCACTCTCTCACTCTCTTCAATGCTATAACCATTCAGTCGTTTAATAATTCAATTCTTTTCACTTTTAGGGCAATAAAGAGCTTCAGGTCTCTCTGTTTCAGGCATTAGTTTTGCTTTTATTCAACGATACGAATGATTTCTCATTAGAAGAGATCAAACAGTCGACGGCTATAGAAGACAGTGAATTGCGGCGAACTTTGCAGTCGTTGGCGTGCGGTAAGGCTCGGGTGCTGACGAAGAGTCCGAAGGGACGGGATGTTCTCGACGACGACCGGTTCGCATATAATTGTGATTTTAAGAATAAACTCTTCAGAATTAAAATAAATCAGATCCAACTCAAAGAAACGGTATGTGCCGTACTTTGCTTTATATTAACCGTAATTACCGGCAATTGAATATTTGGTTACTAAATGTGTGTTTAATTGACAGCAAGAGGAACAGGCGACCACTCAGGAGAGGGTATTCCAGGACAGGCAGTATCAGATCGATGCGGCCATTGTTCGCATCATGAAGACTAGGAAAACGCTGACACATAACCTCCTATTGTCTGAACTCTACGATCAGCTCAAATTCCCGGTCAAAGTAATGATCACTTATTATCTGAAATTTTCAGCCATTTTATGATTCATTGATTATGTTTTGTCTAAAAGCCGGCGGATCTGAAGAAGAGAATCGAAAGTCTTATCGAAAGGGATTATCTCGAGAGAGATAAAGAGAACACAAATCTGTATCATTACGTGGCATAAGAAGTGTTGGAATCGTTTCGAGTGATTCAATTGAATGTATAATTTGAATATTTATGAAATTTTAATTCAACTCTAATATAGTTTTGTCGAAAGAGTGAACACATTTCGGTTTTCTTATTCATTAAAAACAAAATCTTTTATTAGTCCAATCTTTCAAATCATTTGTCTACTTATTTGTTATGATTTATAACTTGCTTATGTATAGAAAATAAAGTACCTGTAAATTTCATTGAGATCCCTGTCCCCAAACTCAACTACGAAACGAATTTGCTATAAGATTTGTGCTCTAAAGGCAGGTATTGTCAAATTTGAATCAAATCATTTATGTACCGGGTAAGCCAAATGTACTGTTTTAGGTCTTATATGATTAAGCAAATATTTGATTTAAAATATCGCTAAACGGTAAGCAATACTATGGTTTCGTTAAACAACAAAAATTATGGACTAAATATTTAGTTTTATTTGATATCTTCAGGAGTTTTGTTAGCAAAACATCGAAAGGATTCAATTGTAGGCTCTATTTTAGATTCATTGGCTGTCAATGCGGTCAACGGGTGCTCCAAATGCTTCATCCGTTTGGGATCTCAACTGAAGAGTTTTGTTGAGCTGTGCGGCCAGAGAGTGGGAATTGGCCCTAATTTGCACACTTTTGGGGTCGTTGTACACATAGGGCTTGAAGTGAACGGCACTTTTCTTGGGAGGCATGGGTTCGGGAGGCGGCATATCTCTCGCGAATTTAAAAGTGTGACGTTTGGCAAAGCGATAGCCGTCTGTCGGGTCTCCTTCGTTGGCATAGACTTCGTTGACGACATCCTCTCCTGCGGTGGTCTTCCCTTCCCGCCGACGCAGACAACAGCACAGTATATCCAATATGGCATCGATTGTCGATTTTGGTGGTGCGGCCGACATCTCAGACTATATATCGCAGACAATTTGCAATAGATTTTCCACAAATAAAGGTAATAATGTTTGATAATTTGCATAATTTATTGTTAGAAAATTAATTGTTTTAAAACTATAATTTCATTGAACAGAAGAGTTAATAATAGCCGATAGTTGACCGGAAATAGCGAGCATTTGTTGCATACAATTGAGTTCAGACGTGATAACAGAACTGAGTTTTTTAAACATTGATTGTATTTCTGTCGACCGATTGATTTGCGACATATAGACGTCCGTCAGTATGAGCGCCGCGTCCACTAAAATGCGGTTAAGTCGCGGGTCTTTTATATGCTTTAAGAGGAACTCTAGAATTGGTTTCAAATGTTTGTCAGTCCGTCCGGCGAGCGCCGCCTTCAGTGAACCCCTTCTCATCAATTCCTGTATAAAACTGACCACAACTTCCGGTTCGTCACTATTTTTCTTGAGAACTCTATTCAAAGCTAATGAGTGATTGAATTGTTTCAACAATTCTTCGTGTTTTGGGAGGAAGTAATCGTTTTTCTTCACCCCTTTAACCACTAAAGTCTTATCCGAAGAATCTTTTCTTTTAGCGATTGGTTTATCCGATAAATCAGAGAAATCTTCACTAAAATATCGTTTTTGATTCACTTTTTTCTTTGCCTCAAAAATTGGTCCGCTTTTCGAGTTTGTCTTGAATTTGTTGACAGAGAAGAGGCCGTCATTGGCGCCGACGGCCAGCACTTTGTCGTCGAGCGCACAGCTCAGCAGTTGGGACGGCGTGTATGTCATGAACGCCGAGACATTGAAGTTGGAGTCATAGACCTTGAGGTGACCGTCGATGGAAGCGGTCAACAAATACTGGCCGTAATTGTGAACACAAGTAATCGTTTTGTGATGTGTTTTGACTAAAGTTTTCAACACTTTGCCGGCAATCATATCGTATATCTTGATGGTGTCCCCGCCCGCAGATATGGCCATCAAATTGCGAACAGTTATCGACTCGACGGCAGAGCCGTGATCTAACTCATGGACAGCCTTTTGCGGTGACCTTTGGTCCCACACTTTAACGCTTTTATCGTAAGATCCAGAGATGACTGTCGAAGAGTTGTCGCAGACGTGAGAGGCTCTGATGTAATCGCTGTGAGCGCTCTTATTGTCGCCAAAAGTGCAGACAATACTGTCTTCAGAGATGTCCCACAGTTTGATGTGAGAGTCGTCTCCAAAGGAAACCACATTCAAAGAGCCCGAGAAATGTGCTCTTCTGACGGCTGAAGAGTGCTTTGATTTGGTCTTATCGTTGAGACCCAAAGCACGCAATGGTTTGCTGTTTTTGATGTCCCAAACCCTCACCACTCCATCACCACATCCCGAGACTATAAGCCGTGAATCGGATTTACGATAATTGGCGCCAAAGAGGGGCACGAAGTTAGGAGTGGACAGAGATTTCTTCACTTCCATACTATAGTACTCATAGATCGCGATCCGTGTCGAAGAAGTCACTAACAGGTCGTGCATTGCGTTCATATCAATGCAATTGATGGCCGAAAACTCTTTGGCAACTTTGGGCGCTTCCAAACAGTTCTGCCAATACTTCGCCGATTCACTCAACGGCTCTACGATTGATGGCAGAGTCGCCACAGTTGTCCTCTTGAATGATGTCATCGCCGGTTGTCTTCAGTTATCACTTCATGCAATCAATGGCCACAAAGTATTAGCTATTTTTCAAATCAATTCAAATACAACACAAACACGTGTTTTGAACACAAATTCATGTTTTGATTTCATAGGCAATGCTTTTAATGCATAATAATTACGTCAAAATAAGTACCACTTTTAGACCCCCTTTCCATTGAAACACATTACGGGTAATGAATAAATGGTTACGTTATTAATGGTTTGGTATTAAAGTCCATAAATGACTGAATGTGTGCAGAGTTTGTCATTGAATTGAATGACAGATAAAATTGAAATGAAAAGCAAAACACTATTTAACGAAACATTTCCTCACAAATGGTTTAAATGTGAATGAAATCAATGTTTGTTTAAATGACAATCAAAACAAGTGTTTATCAATTGATCACAACTTCAAGGCTCAGTCTGTCGTCAACTCTATTGCCATTGAAAACTCATTTAAATGACAAGTCTTTCAGAAATTCAATCAAATTAGTGTCAAATACGAGTCAACTGAAGATGAGTTCAAACGGATTGAATGCATCCAAAAGAGACGCCGCCTTCAGAGCCGTCGACAATCACCTGAAGGTCTGTTGTCTTCACTCAATGTCACAATCAATGATAGTTTGAATGCTTTACAGAATGGTCTCAAAGTAGGCATCGGTAGCGGAAGTACTATAGTGTTCGCCATCGACAGGATCGCCGAGAAAGGGTTGGATGTGATGTGTGTCCCGACCTCCTTCCAGGTCTGTCTCCCATTGTCTTATTGTCCACCAAATGATACCACAATTGAGTTGTTTTTTGGTGTTTTTGTAGTCAAAGCAATTGATTCGTGAGAAAGGCTTACGTCTCAGCGATTTAGAGGAGTGTCCGCAACTGGATGTGACCATCGATGGCGCCGATGAAGTAGACGTCGAGTCACTAATACTGATCAAAGGCGGCGGAGCGGCGCTCACTCAGGAGAAGATAGTCGCCAGCGCTTCCAAAGAGTTGATTATTGTCGCCGATTATACCAAAGAGTCCACAGATTTGGGCCTAAAGTGGACGAAAGGACTTCCCATTGAAGTGATTCCTATGGCCTATAAGACTGTTACGAATAAAATTGAAAAGCAATTTAAGGGATCAGCGGTTCTTCGTATGGCGAAAGCAAAAGCCGGTCCTGTGGTCACAGATAATGGAAACTTCGTAATCGATTGGATGTTTCCCGCGAAGACCAAAGAGGAGAAGAGAGACATAAAGTATTGGTCTGAAGTGAACACAAGTATCAAAATGATGGCCGGAGTCGTGGAGACGGGACTCTTCATTGGTATGACTACTCGCGTATACTTCGGCCACAATGACGGCTCAGTCACTACTTTTCCCAAACTATAGTTCAATGTTTTAGTCATTGTTTTAATGAATTTTTATCAATTATTTTATACTTAAATCGTGTTTTACTTATACCGTAAATGATTTGAAATAAATTTTATGATACGTTTACTTAAGAAGTAGAGATCAAACGTATCTTTAGATTCATGAGATGTCGACACTTCGGTCTTCTATGTGATTATCACTCGGTTTCCCACTATTTGTAAGTTTTAGTGTATTATCGATCATAGCCTCTACGGGTCTATTCAATCAATAATCGCTTTTTTATTGCTGTTAACAACAAATTATATGTATTTGAGAATCAAAATAACTATTAATAACAGAATTTCTTATGATTTAAAGCTCTAAAAGAAATCTGTTTTCAATTCACTCAAGACTTTCATTTAATAGCTTTTATAATATTCTGTAGTGTTTTCGTGCTTTTTATATATGAATATAATCTAACGAATAGTGGATTCATTGATAGTATCGTATGTGATATATATTAACGTATGGATTACAGCAACTGATCTCTCAGTCACTCATCTCTCGGGTTCTCTACTCATGAGTTTGAATGCAATGAATGCTATCATTGAATGCAAAAAGCGATCAAATGGTGTGACGACTCACGCGATCCATGAATTTCTGCAATGAATCTAAAATACATTTATAAAACTTATAATTTTAGGCCCGAGTTATGCCCTATAGTTTGAAAGGCCAACAAAACTATTAAAGTAATTACCTCTCCATTCATGTAATGTTTAAATAATTAAATTTACTTTTTTCCCAATCATTACATGATATTAGAGTTAGTTTAATATAAATAGTGAAATAGTTTGAGAATTGTTTTTCGAAAATGAAATGATGTTTGCAATGAATTGAAGCTAATATTTAAACGCTAGTGAATCAGAAAAGTTTGCCTTTTTATCTACATTTGGGAAATATATGTCAATTAGTTTGGATGTCGGAACCTCGGATCGCTATACTTGTTTGCATAACGTTTGTTAAGTCAGTTCAATGTTTAATGTATTTTGGGTTTGGAGTTAGAGTTTTGTGCCAAACATTGGCTGTGCGTTAAGTGATAGAGATTTATGTCAACTAAATGACCGCCAATACAGCAAAAAGGGGATCAGTCGCTACTCTAAGCCATTTCAGCAAAACATAATCAATCCTTAGCACAGAGTTTATTAAAAGGCGAAAAAACTTTGCAAACAAAATACAAAATAGATATCAATTAGTTTGCGCACGAAATGCATTGCTTTCACGACTAATGTGTCTTCCAATTGGTTTAGTTGTCGACCAAAAGCTTACATTCAATGCATTTTGAATGAGAAAACGGTGTAATAATTATGTAATTTATATTACATTTAATCACAACTAGTCTGCTCTTCAATAGCATAAGGCGTTTGAATAGTCGATGACAGTTGTGATGATAAACTGGTAGACCCTATCGATTGGTGATTGCAATCAATTGTAATTAATTCAAAATCTAAGCATTAATTACATCGGAGGCAGAGGTGCGCCCATTAATGAGTTTAATTGGGTTAATACAACTCCACCTCTTTCTTAATAACAAAAAATGAGCTAAAATTGAGTTTTGGTTTTATTAACAAAGTTTGACATCAAAACCAATTAAGCGATTGTGTGTTAAGGCATGTGTGTGTGAACTGCATTTTATTAGCGCTAAATATTTCGCTTTCTACTCAATAATAATCGTATAGTTTAGTCATGTATTCATTAATATCACAGTCAAACACAAAGGATTGAAAATGTTTTCCAAACTATTTCCACGATTTTATCAAATTTTTCGAAAAACACTGCAATTACTCTTAATATAATTTGTTAGTTTGCTTTCAAACAAAACTTTCCTTTTATTTGGACTTATGTTTTCAAATGAGTTTATTTTAAATAATAATACATTTTCAGTCATATTCCATGAGTTTTGCCACTCATTTCAGTTATTTGTGTTATTCCCGCATAAGAATAAGCATATCATACAGTATTCTGTAGTTATGTTATATTCAATGGCTACTGCAAGCATTACAAATTACACTGTATAATCTTTTGTTAATTTCATGTTAAATATTCTATAAAACAATACCATTTTCATTAATAATTTAAAAATTGTTAAATTATTAAATCCAAATAATTTATGTTAAAAGAAGATAATTATTAAAAGTTATAAAATTGCAGTTTGCAAAGTTTTTGTTTGTTTGTAAAATTCTTTAAAATGTGTAACTTTAATTCAATGTATAGTATTGTATACAGTATTGTATAATGAGTGCGTAATGAGCTTTTATTGAGCAATCAAATGACGTCTGTTTATCTAATTATCAAATTATATTTATTTTATGTTTAAAGTATTGTTCAGTTAAAAGTTTTCTGTAATTATATGGATAGAAATTTCCAAATGTATGGTTAAATGGTGTTTGATAAGTTGTATAATGATTTGATAGGTTTTCACACTTTAAGAGGTAATCTTTCTATAAAATAACTAATTTATGATATGAGTTATGATTTAAGTTTGAACGCATAGAATATTCTGTGTATTTGAATGTGAGTGTAAATAAAGTGACAGAAAAAGCAGTTAATAATTAGCATTCGTTGGCACAGTCTTTAGGGTCTGTAGTGTTGTGTATGGTTTGAACGGTTGTAGAGTCTCTCGAATGCATTGCATATTGTGTTCAACAGACCAGACATAGAGTTGGACGCAGACATCAACTCAGATAACAATCCATTGAAAGCCATGTTATTAAACCTCTTTCGCTCATTATTTAGACGAGAATATTGTTTAGAAGTCTTTCGCGTCTTTATTGGCGAACAAAAAGGTTTCAAACATTCAATTTGATTTCAAACATCACTGGTATGGGAAGGACTGCTTTTTGAACGTTTATATAATGGTTAATACATTGCATTAAAATAGAGTAGAAGTTTGGGTGAGGAGTAGTGTAGTGTTGTTATAAAGGTTGGGGAAAGTATGGCTTATTTGATGGATTCCTTATTCATGTATTGCTATAACCCTCTGGCGTTTCATTTTGCATCGGAGCGTGAATTTCAAAGTAAGCATTACTTTGAAGTCAACTCTAATCCAGAGTTAGTGACAGTTAGAGCACAACATTCGCTACATTGAGATGAGAGTACAATATATAGAGAATACACAGAATATAGAGAAGCCAACACTCATTTCACAGATACTAAACTTCTAGTACTTTGAGTTCACTTTACTCTTATTGTGTGCATCCCATCCCATTCCTATCCCTTTTCATGAAGTGATGGCCAACTATTGCTATTAGACGCGTGCAATACTGAACAGCAATACATGGTCTGGCACTACATTATCTTGTTTTGAGTTGTGATCTGGTGTTTGAAAAACTGTTAGATTTGAATGGTGTTCGAGTCGTATAGTAGTACAGTGTGTGTGTATTCTGTATGCACTACACGATCGATATGTAATGTAGTGCTCAGAATATACAGAATATACACAATGTGTGCGATATATAGCTTATATTGCATACGACAAGAGCTAAATTTGTTGAACAAGTGAAACGTCAGTGTCATCCTTGTCATCACTGTGATGATTGTGAGCCAGCACACTACTGCACACCATTATAGCACACTTCCCTTAGTCTCATCCAAATTGTCAACCATTCTTCCGATGCAAAGATTCAAACGAGTCATTGCTCCACAAGAATAGTGTTTTTGATTTCTCATAAAATAATGGTTTCAATTGCTTTACAAACAAAGAGATTGAGTAATCAAAGCATAATATAATGTTATATTAAATATAATCATCATTTAAATGATAAATGTATTCTTTTAGTCATTAAAACTCTTCTCTAATTAAGTTTGAAATGCTTTTAGGTTTGAATAAAACGAAAATTAGTCTTAAGTTATAATAAACTAAAGTGAAATGCGTTAACTTATACTTCACTGCTATTAAGACTCAATAAACAATTAAAACGTTTTAATAGCTCTCGTGTTATGTTTATAGAAACCATAAAATCAATTAAATTAAAAATAAATGAATGCTTGAGACTTCTCCAGAATATATCTGCAGAAAATATGGTTTTTTGATTACATTATTATCAGCAAAAAGTACATCAATCATAGGTGTGTGTGTGTGTGTGTGTGTGTGTGTGTGTGAGAGAGAGAGAGAGAGAAAGAGAGAGATGTGTCTAATCTTCTGATGGTTTGCAGGTTTTCACAGTTTAGTCACGATATTGGGTCACATACCGTATATGCGCTCATACTTGTATACTTGTGCTAATCATTTAAAGTTTCTTATTAACTATCGATATAACATATCATTGCAAAAGAATTTGATATGAATTGCTATTTTCAACAGTAATTGAATTCTTATTGATTTATGATTTATTTTATTGAGTAATAAAATCAAAGCCTAAAACTTTAAAACAGAATAATAAAAGGCACGAAACAAAAACAACAGTGACTTTAAATTCAATTGAATGCTTAATTATTAAAAGAGTTAAAGTATTGGTTGGGATATAAGTATAACTGGTTTAATGTTTCATATGTTGGCATTTGATTGTCTGGAAGGCAGAGGAGATTCGCTTTTTAATAATGTACACAAAGATAGATATACATCGATATACCGCTCGTTTGCCATTTCAAACTCTTACAACTTAATGCCTGTGCTATGAATAGTGCAATAGTCATAGTAATAGTGCATCAGTTTAGATGATGGGAGAGAGAGAGGGAGAGAGAGAGGGAGAGAGAGGTAGAGAGAGGGAGAGGGAGAGAGAGAGAGAGAGAGAGATTGAAGAGCAAAGAGTGAGCACATTTGTGAAGAGCACACAACACACACACAACACAAGTAAGGCTCGAATGGTTTCCTGAGGATGGGATGGGATTTGGAATCGATTGCTGCAAAAGTTGGCAATAGTTGTGAAGCAGTGGAACAGTCGTATAGAATGAACAGCTTTTTGTCGATTTTGTGCTTCACATCGACTTATATATAATATACAGTATTCTGTATATGAGTTATATATCCATAGCTCCATAGC